GGCTTTTTTGGTGCTCATTTTTTCGAAGATCTACATGAATATGGGGAAACCATCGGATTTTTTTGGTTAACCCACATCTTCATGTAGTCTGGACTATCTTTCCTCGAAGGACCTCTTTACGGGTGTAAAAACACATAAAGTTCTCAAAAGATTCATTCTCGATCTCCATGCTGAAAGAATTTACAATAAAAAAAGAGATCTACGCATCAAACTACAGCCATAAATGAACTGAACCCCTAAAGCTCAGCTCTTAGTTTATCAAAAACGTCGAAATCCTTCTCATTGCAATCAAATTTTCTCAATAACTCATAAGAAAAATCGAATTTTTATTAAGCCGATGTTATAGGTATCACAAATACTACAAACTTGAGCAATATCGAAATTGCCAGCAAAAGTTTGAAATTGCATTGCTCATATTTGTTTTGTAAACTAAAAATCTGCTTATATTATTCATTAATTTTTATATATTATTCATATACTTTAATAAAAACAATACTATTTCACCTTAAAAATGAATTTCATAAGTCAATATTATTTTTTTGAAAATGTATCAATTTCGATTAAAACAACATGAGAATAAAATTTACGCAAAATTATTTTTAAAAAATGGTTTTAAAAATTTACAATTGATTAAGAATAAGATTGCAAGAAGTTTTGAAGTTTAATTTTTAGAAAAAAAATTGGGATATTATTCATGGATCTAAGTAATCTGATATTTGAGTATCGGCACTATGCATAAAACATATATTTATAGTTTTTTGGATTTTTATGATTTTAAATATATTCAAATTTGGCAATCCAATAGATTTTTAAAAAATAGGTAAATAAAAATAGATTACATATGCAGCAGATTTAGAACATGAAACAAATCTTATAGTGACCCAAAAAAAAATTCATGATCCAAAAAAGAAAAAAATTGGCTAAATAGGAATCAAACCTTGGCATAATGAATCATTATGTCGGATGTTTCCACTACACCGGCAGTTCGAAAAATACCCTTGGTGGTTCTATTTAATAGCTACTCCCAACGATAGGCGGTGTCCCCAGCTTTAGAGAGATGGTAAAAGTAAGGCAAATCTGGGTAATTTAAATGAAGAAGTAATTTAAAACGATTTTATTTATGATCAAATTTTATATATTTTTTTGGATCAAATCCATTTTAATAGAATTTATATACTATTCATCTATTAGTAAACACTACCGTATATTATTTTTTAAGCTATCTTATTTTTTGAACTTTTATTCAAATCTTTGGTCGCAAGAAGAATTGCATGATAAATAAAAACATTTAATCAAAGTCAATTTTATTTTTCATATTCAAATGGACTGAGTGTTAACATTTAACATTTTTTGCTAATTGTCGTCAAAAATTAGGCGTAAAGCAAAAATTGATATTTCATATGGTTTTATGATAGATAAGCATTATATTCCCACTCATTATATTCGTAAATTTTGAGGTTTATCCTTCGCTTTTAAGATCATTGAATTTGATTTTTATATAAAATAGTTATCTATTAGAAAATAATATGAGTTTATGTGATATTATTTTTCAGAAGATTTCATTCTATATGCCTATGAAAAGTACTCTCAAAACTAACTTTTTCCTAATTATAATTAAATCTAGAATATTGTATTATGCTTAGTATTATTTCATTTTTCTCATTCAATTTAGAATTTACAAATGTCAAAAAATTGAGAGCTGTCACTTTTGATGAATTTCTGTTTATTACATGCTGAATCGTCAGATTCCATTGAACCCTTGAACAAAGGTACATTCACTATTTTTGACAAAATTTTAAATTTTCATGGGGTTGTAAATCTTATAATAACTAGATGAATAAGGAATAAATCCCAGTATGATGTGCATCATTATATTAAACACTATATGTAAGGCTGGTGATTCTATTAACACTTATGAAGATCTATAGTATTTGAGCAGATAAATTTGATAATTTCCAAAACTCTTATATTTCAAAATTAAAGTGTGCGAATGCATTTAAATGAGAGTAAAAAGAGATTGATGCTGTTAAAACTAGGTGTTAATTTGCAATTATTTCGCATCACAAGAACTACCCAGTAAATTCGGCTATCTTTCTTTGCAATTATTCTCCATTATACATATAATATAATGGTTAGGGTTTGAAGAAAAGTTACTAGAGAATTATTGACTTTTGAAATAATGCAGAATTTTACTTGAAGAAATCATTAATTTATGAGTTCCAAATTGCTAAGCATGACGAAGGATCATTAAATTGGCTACAATTAAATACACTTATTGCAAAATTAAGATTTTTGAAATTAAAAGTTTGAAATATTGCCTTTTTGAATAAAAATTTAAATTTGATTATATAATCATGATAATATATTATTGAAATTAAAAGAAAATATTTTAAACCATTCAAATATTTTGAATGTCTTATCAATTTAAAATATTAAAAGATTGCTTGATTTTATCATCATTAGTTGTTATCAAAGTTTTCTTCTTTTGATGAACAACAGTAAATGATTTGTTAATACCTTGTCTTCCTTTTACGCAGCAAAATCAAAAGTTATGATGATAATCTTGTACTCAATTTTGAAACTCTCTCATTTACAAGTAAGCATTCCTTTGGAAAAGCAGTCCTATTCTGTTTTCAAGATATTTTAAAGCCTCCATTTCATACAATGCGCAGATCTATTCGAAATTGCAAGAACTCTCAAGAAAAATGCAGCAGCAAAGAAGATTCCATAGTTTCTAGCATCAAAAATTTACAACCTTAATACAACAGTTAAAGAGAAGCTCGAAAAGAAAATATTTAACCATAAAGCTGGAAACCATTCGATATCTACTATTGGATCTAATAAAAAGTTAATTATAACATATTTAACATGCTATTTGTTGACTTTGTTCCATTATATTACCATATATATCTTTTTGAAATCTAAAATATTTTTACGATTTTAACCATGTGTTGTTGAAACCATATATCAATCTTAGCTAAAGTATAGTTTATGAGTCTGTCACCATCTAACGTATGAATTTTCAAAAATGTCAAATATGTTCATTTTTTCTGTATATTCAGCCATAATTTCATGTTGTTATACTATTCAACTATTATTTAATATTTCTATCGAGTTAAATATATGATGAGATGCTTAGTTCTCCCGGAAATCGATTTTTAATCGCAATTTTAACTTTCCAAAAAAAATTCAAAAATAAAAATCCCTCTCAATTTTCTAAGTTTTATAACTCGCCAAATCTCTAGCCAAATTTTTTTTGGCCCGTATAAATATTGTTAGGCACTAAAAAAAAAAAAAAAAAAAAAAAAAGGTAGTGGGGCTTCCAGGCACTTCGTGCCTTCTAGCCCTGAAGATGTTTAGTATAAATGAAGTTCTTATATACGGGTCTTCCAGGAGCTTTTCACAAATTATATATGTTTTCATGGTTTGTCAAGACTTCTTCGTAATGAGTGTAAATGACCAAAAATAAAGTTTAGGGTAGAAGGTTAGATCTAACCTGTTTTCTAACCTCTTTTCTACCCTCATGAATTTGTCATGATTTCTTCGTAAATGTTTTGTCAAGACTTCTTCTTCGTAAATGTTTTGTCAAGACTTCTTCGTAAAATCAGACAAAAATAATGTTTAGGGTAGAAGGTTAGATCTAACCTCTTTTCTAACCTCTTTTCTACCCTCTTGAATTTGTCAAGATTTCTTCGTACATGTTTTGTCAAGACTTCTTCGTAAATGTTTTGTCAAGACTTCTTCGTAAAATCAGACAAAAATATATTTTAGGTGAAGAGGTGAGATCTCACCTGTTTTCTCACCTGTTTTCTCACCTCATGAATTTTCATGATTTCATCGTAAATGTTTTGTCAAGACTTCTTCGTAAAATGTTTTGTCAAGACTTCTTCGTAAATGTTTTGTCACTTTTCTGTCACTTTTCAGGAAAAAACATTTTTATATATATATAAATGAATTTTACAAAACCACCGTTACCGTTCTTTGGAAATAAGAGTAAATGTAAAGATATTATATTGAGAGAACTTAAGAAACTACCGAATGGTCTAACATTTGTAGATTTGT